TTAAAGAAGACCAATATCATATTAAACACCTGAACGTGGTTATGTCTTATACGCGGTGAAGTGATGTCTTCTTAACAGTTTACTACCGTTACTGTCTTCAAAACAACACCAAAAAAATATGTCACTATTTATAGAGAATATTTTTTTGACTCGTTGAAATCAGCTCTATAAATCACTTAAGGCTTCTGAGCTCAGTGTGAAGTCTAAGATGCCTAAATCGTTTCGGTAAAATAAGCTAAAACACTTAATTGATGGGAAGTACTGATTACACAAAAATCATCGATCATTAGCATAGGCTCAGGATTTAAGGTTAAGTCAATAGTGAGCTCCATCGAAATCAATACTTTAGCGTCTCATCATCAAGTAGTTAGATATTGAAGTTTACAAGTTACCATGTCACTTGAAAGAGAGTGTTTCTATAGACTAAGGCGTTTAGTGAGATCGTTCATTCTTCGTCTAAAGTTGTGTAGCGACATAAACTTAAGAGAAGTATCGAAGATAGCGCCAGGTATAACATATATTATTTGAAGCTTTAAAGCACGAAATTCAAGGTGGACAAACAAAGCACTGAGAGCACTGCTATGGAATAGTCAGTTGACTTTATCATGAACACAAGTATTTGAGTGGCACAAATTATTCAGTGAAGGTCGTGATATTAGTATCAAAATCTTGTCTCATGCGAGGCGTTCATACACCTCTGCTAATGATGATAGGATCGAAAAAGTTAGAGAAACATTGTCGGAAAATCGGCGTGTTAGCAGCAGAGAGATAGCAGAGTATTTCCACATTTTTTATGGGTTGACTCAGAACATTTTGGTTAATGGTTTGGGTATGAAGCGTATCAATGCTAGACTCGTATTAAAAGATATGAATCTTTTGCAAAAGGCACGTCGAGTAGAGCTCGCAAAAGAGATGCTTGAAAATGAATCTGAGGACCCTACATTTGTCAAAAGAATGATTACTGGTGACGAGACGTGGATTTATAAATATGACGTCGAAACTGTCCAACAATTTAGCGAATGACGCTCCAAAAGTAAGCAGAAACCGAAAAATCACCTCAAAGTCGGTCAAAAATCAAGATAATGCTTATCGTTTTCTTTGATGACTGTATTGTGGTTCATCATGACTTCGTCCCACAGGGTCAAACGGCCTACTTAGCCATTTTGAGTCATCTACAGAAGCAATTCGTTCGAAACGACCGGATTTGTGGGCAGAAAATTCATGGGTTTTTATCACGTCAAGGCGGCGCCACATTCTAAACATGATTGTGACTGACTTTTTGGTCAAATACGTAACGAGAATCATCGCTGAACCACCGTACTCGGTAGATTTGATCTCTGTGACTTTTTTGTTTTCGAAACTAAGAAATGCGTTTCCGGTAATGCGCCATTAGTCCATTGAAGCCACTAAATGTCATTCGTTAAAGTCACAAAGCTATCCCAGCCGAGGCTTTTAACAAGTGTATAGAAAAACGGAAAAAACGTTGGAGTGGTTGTGTTATTTTTATTTCTTCTTATGAATAGCATTTGCGTCGACAAGCCAATTTCATTTAGCACTAAAATTGATACAGCTTCATTCAAAAAGCTACACACCATAAATTGAGACCTACATACCGCATTGCTCGAACAAAAATATATACATATGTATGTATTTGTGTGAAACAGAATTATTCCTATCACTTTTAAGCCAAATAATGAAGTCCTCAATACCCTTCGCTCGATCCTAGGCATTCCTAACATAAGCAAGACATAATTAAATATTTTACAAGCAAAAAACATGTCGTCAGCGTTCAAATGACAGATAGCCCCTCTCTGCAATTCAACAAAAACTGTTTTCAAATAAAAAATACTAATTTTTGATACCCCAAGCTCTCTCAAGTATTTATTGAACGACCCTAAGATGATAGTTTTTCACTTAAATGCCATTGCTATTAACGAATTCCACACTGATTTAGACAAATTAACACTGCAATGCGACTTTTGTAGAAATTCTCCGAATATTTTTGTACAACAATAATTTTATGTGACACACACATACGCAAACATATATACTTTGGGGAGCATTAGATAAATAAGAAGCCATGAAATTCCTTTGCAACAGACCATTTAGCGCTGTGGCATTTGCTGCAACTGAATACTCGACGAGGCGCAACTAATGCACGACACGCTGTGGAACAGTGCAACAGCGGCAACATGAACAACAATAACACATATTTATAAGAATTTTATTTGTGCTTTTGCTTAGAATTAGAATAAACTGATACTGAGTTATGTAAGAGCAAATGCAACAAAGTTGTACAAGTGTCTGCCGAAACTTGCAACATGCATCTCTGTAGTTTTTGTTAGTTCGCTTGTATTTTCTCTGTGTCACAAGCTGTTTACTAGCGGGCTAGACAAATGCTGCAGTGTTGTGTTCATGCTAATTTAAGGCCAATGTTTTGTGGACAGTTTAAATTGTTAATGCATTTTTGGGCGAACAGATTTTGGACTTATAAAAAAAAAATATGAAAAAATGTTAATTTCGGCTGGTAGAAACAAGAATACCCTTAACAGGTGCATTTCTTATAGCATAAAAGGGTGTAAAGATAACGTTATCTTGATTTTGACCGGTCAGTTTGTATGACAGCTATATGCTATAGTGCTACGACCTGCATAATATCTTCGGAGACTGTAGCGTTGCCTTGGACAATAATACGAGTATATGCCAAAAATCGTGAAGATATCTAGTCAAATAAAAAAGTTTTCCATACAGAAACTTGAGTGTGATCGTTCACTTTGTATAGCAGCTATATGCTATAGTGGTCCGATATCGACGGATCCAAAACTGGGCAGCTTCTTTGTGAGAAAACGACGTGTGCAAAATTTCATATTGATACCTCAAAAACTAAGGAATATACGGGCATTGCTAAATCTACTCAGTTCGTCACACTGATCAGGGTATATTAGTATTTGAATATAAGCGAATATATTGCCTCAGGGTTGCAAGTGTTGCTGAAATATCAAATAAATGGCACCAAAAAAGTGGTAGGAACTGTCAGCGTCACTGTGAGAGTTGGAAGCGGATTCATTTCAGCCGCATAACTTGCAACATTCGCTGACAAATGACTATTTATGGGTGTTACTATTTATATACTTTCGTATCATCTGGTGACGTACACATACTAGACCCTCAGTGTATATCTCTACCATATATTGGCTCCCGGTGTATGTGTGGTTCCAATCTTTTAACTTATATAAATTTGTTGCATTTGTGCAATTTTCACAAATTTTCCTTCGATGATGTTTATATTCTTTTGTTTTATTTTATTTTTTTTCTGAATAAAAATTATCATAACAATCTTGAAATCGTAGTAAAATAAAAACCTGGTGTTTTTTTTAATTTTTTACCAAATTATTGCCAAAGAAGGATTCAAAAAATTGTCTCGACAGTTTCTCCACGATTGTTGAGTATTCACTAGACTTAAGTTCAAACATCTTAAATATCCGGTTTTATAGCTGTTCAAGTGAGATTTCGATCACTGGATCAGGCCCGAAATCTAACCTAGTCTAAAGAGCACTTCGCAGTAAGGGTCTAAACTCTACATAATTTTCTGCTACATAGCACAAGTTAAACCAAATTCTCTTTTCTATTTCGGTTTCTTTCATCTATCTTCGTGTGATCAAGTAATCTACAGCAAAATGAAAAGTATAGCTCACGAAGTCCAAGCTTATTATTTATCTCCGATCCATAAAATGATTATTTTCTAGGCGATTTAAGGCCATATAACACAGTGATTTCTAAGCGAATGTGCGAGCGTGCTAGTTAATATTTTATAGTGATTGATAAGACCGTTGGAGCGGATACAGCGGCTCGCTGTTCTCTCAACGAGTATAATGGGAGCGTTAAGAACCAAACCAACGGCTGCACTAGAAAGGTTACTCAACCTGGCATCATTCGACATTGCAATGGAAACCTTTTTAGAAAAATCAGCTACAAGATTGGCGGCGTTAGGTGAATTCACCATAAGGGCTCTCGGGCATAGCTCAATATTCAGGGGGTTGGTGAATAAAATAGACCACACACCCTTCCGCTTTATTTGGAAGAGAAGGTTTCAAGTTATACTAGAAGAAGGAGCATACAACTCGTCAGCGGAACTTACAACATCTACACAGACGGATGGCTAATGGATTGGTCGCCGGAATCTATTATTCGAAGCTGGATCTTAGTTGACCTTTCATGCTTCCGGAATACTGCAGTATCTTGCCGGAAGTCTTTGCGGGCAAAAAAGCGGCCGCAAATATACTTTGTTCCAGGCCACAAAAGAATTCCAAGGAACGAAATAGTTGATGAGATTGCTATAAGTATCATCCGCCTGACTACCAACATATTGTAGTACAGAAAAACGACGTAAGTCGCTAAAAACGATACACAATGAAATTTTCCAAAGGGCTGCTAAACGAATCAGGGGGAGATGGAATGCCTTAAGGACATGCGGGATTGCAAAGATCATGTGCAAGAGCCCCGAAGGAAAGCACTCACACTTTTTTTACTCAGACTCTGGAATACCTTCTATGCTTCTGTTCAGCCTTATTTTGAATTCGTCTTAAATATCCAGAAGCTTCACAGTTCAACGGACTAGATGAAGTATCAAAGTTACCTATCAAGTCGCTCTTAAAGATCGCAAAAAACATTGACGTCCTGTATGACGAATACCTTAGCTCAAATTAAACTGATCCTCAATACGGCATTACTAAAAACCAGCAGGTCTAACCCAACCTAACTTAAGGCCTCATAAAATGTGAACTTATGAAGTAACCTAAAGCTACAGAAAATCCCCTAGCTAAGACGTGAATAAATGTTTGGTACAAAGAACAAATTGTAGGGAGTTCGCCGGAAATATCGCACATTGATTTAGCTGAAATCCAGTTAAATTTATGGGATAGTCCAAAATATGCTACCGCCTCCAAACATATACCATACAAGCTAAATATTTTCGAAAAGAAAAATTAGTACTCCAAAACTCAAGTCCAAATTAAAACATAAATATATTACTAGTATTTTTTGTACATGAGGACCATTTAAGTGGGTTTTTATTTCTAAAAAAATAGAGTTATTTACAAAATACAATAAAGGTATATGATAATTTGAGCTTCAGCAAGTCTGCCCGATGCGTCTTTAAGCCCGACTTATAAACAGCAACGTGGCGGTACACTTCGTGAACGATGTGCGCAATCGCAAAAGCCATTGTTCGTATTGCGTTGACACAACCGACGCGGGCTGCCATACGAGCGATCACCTGTCGGACGGCCTACTGGCGACATACCGTAATTAACTGCCGCTATTGCCTGAACTGGCGAAGAGCAGCGCATAGGTGAGGCTGCACGCGCAGCGCCACGTGGGCATGGTATACTATCGCCTGAACTGTAGCCGAACTGTGGACTATTCGTACGCCCAATTGGCGGACAAGACTTACTACGATGAGGTATGGAGTAGGTACGCGCTGCAGCGCGCACCATACTCTTGTTGTCACTAAACATGTCATATGACACACTCTGTGACGCTTCGGCGATGCCCAAACCCGAGAGTGTCAACCAATAATCGGTATAGTTGCGAAAATATGGAGGTTGACCAGTGCGTGGGCAGTTCTTTGGTGTGGATGCCATTGCGGGATTTGGACGGAAACTCGGTGTTGCACCGGCACCACCCGGAGGCGGGCAAACATTAAAAGTAACATTACCGCGCGGCACTGTGGTGTTGAAAGTGCGATTACCGCCACGCGACACATTAAACGTTGCATTAGGACACGCAGCACGTGTGGCTGTACGAGCTTGCGGTACATTGTATGTGGCATTCAGTGCGCAACGTGGCACATTAAATGTGGCATTTGGTGTGGGCCGTGATACATTGTAGGTGGCATTCGGCGCGCAACGCTGTACATTATAGGTCGTATTTGCTGGACAACTCGGTATATTGTAGGTAGCATTCGGCGCGGAACGCGGCACATTATAGGTAGTATTTGCTGGACAACTCGGTATATTGTAGGTAGCATTCGGCGCGGAACGCGGTACATTATAGGTAGTATTTGCTGGACAACTCGGTATATTGTAGGTAGCATTCGGCGCGGAACGCGGTACATTATAGGTAGCATTCGGCGCGTAACGCGATACGTTGTAGGTAGCATTTGGTGCGTAATTCGGCACATTATAGGTAGCGTTCGCGGCTTGCGCTCTACATACGTCATATGTGGCATTTGCACCACTTGGCACATTGTAAGTGGTATTCCTCGCCGGGCATGCGTTCCTGTAGATGTCATTTGAAGCAAGTGGCATACTATAGGTGACATTATGAGGCGCGCAGGTGTTGTATGTTGCATTCGGCGCGCCACCACGCTTTGGACTTCTACTCGCATTCCGCGTAGCGCACGCATTATACGTTGCATTTGCCGTATTCATATTGTAGGTGGCGTTCATTGGTCGCGATTGCCTGACATTAGCTTGCTGAGATCTCCCAAAACTGATTGGTGTGGCCGTAAATGTGGAGGGAAAATCTGGCGGCGTACATTGTGAGTCTTCAGGATGCATTTCATACATGGTCGAACACATATTCGGCACATGTGGCGTCTCAAAACCCTCGAATGTTGACGTTGCATAACTACTAGAGCCACCGGTATCCGAGTATGGACTTGAGTCAGCGCTACTATCCGTATACGCTGCCCTATGGGCGTACATAGATTCGATTTCGCTAACAGCTGTGCATAAAATATCCCAAATTGTGCGACGATTCGGTGTAGCTCCAGTTCCTCCGCCTCTTAAACGTTCCTTATGTTGCTCTTCGAGCAAAAAACGCTTCATCTCCGACAGCATTTCCCATTTCGCATATTGGTTTTGTCGCTGTTCCTCGTAAATATCCTCTTGCTGTGCTCGTTCTAGATGATACTCGAGTTCGTGCTTGGAGAGCGTAAATAGCTCCGATGGCGATAGTTTGAGTTTGCGCGCCCAAAAGAGTATTTCCCTTTTGGTTAACTCGGAGAGATCGTCATCTTGCAGCGGATTCGGTTTTTTCGTATTCGTCGCAGCCGCAGCGGTGGATCTCATGATCGGCCTACGTCAAATGAGCAACGGAATTTTGTCAGTTTTCCAAATTATTTTTTTTTTTGGCGGATTTGCTGTTTTTTCACTGCAAATTTATTTGTCTTGTGTTACACTTGAAATTTGGATGATATGAGTGTCAGCCAATTGGTGAGTGACTTGTGGCATATGCTGTCTTAGCAAAATGAAAACAAATTTGAAAAACAAAAAGAAAAAATATCTAGTGTTCACAAGTTACAGAAATTTTTTCGAAATACTGGGAAATATTAGCAGACAAGAAAAATAGCATTTAAATGCATTCGAAGAAATTCGTTAACCATTTTGGTCGAATAAGTGTAGAAAACTTAATTAACTTGTTGCCGCAACGGACAGTCGAAACGGAAAAGAGAGGTAACGACAATGTAGACGGCACTTCGTGGCATTATATGTGCACAAGGTGGTCCAGATTGGGATATATACCTTAATACTGGAGTATTCGGGGAGTAACAGCTTTTAGCTGCGGCAAATATTCAAAGAACTCTGGGAACTCTTTTGGTCTATGTTGAGTCTTACAGAGAATATAAACCCAATAATTTTTATTTTGGTAAACATTGCTTATCACACCACATATGCTATAACCGAATTTTAGTCGTCACAGGACCGCGTTTTAAGACCGTAACTGATTTTGTGCAGAGCCGATATGGAGCGAAGAAGAAACGATTACCGATTCGGGCCGTTCACACGAATCCCGATGAATACATGAATATACATGATAATAATATTATATAAAGCAAAACTATGACTAAGACCTGTTTTTGAAGAGCCGAGTTCCAACTAGGAAGATACGATTACCGATTCGGACCGTTAACAAGAATAATGATGAACCTATTCATTATAATATCATTATACCATATAAGGGCAAGACCTTCACAAAGACTAATTTGTGGAAAGCCGAGTAATCACGAAGTAGAAAAGTTTGCCGATTTAAACCGTTAACACAAATACCGATAAACCCAATCCTGACAATAATATTATATAAGGCCAAAACGATCACTATGAGGAGAGCAGAGTAGCCCGAAGAAGAAAGACGAGTAATATATATTTGTGAGATATTGCGTGCACTATCACTAAGTCTTTAAACCGTTGGATTAAAAAATATATATTTTTTTTTGCATATTTAAGGTAGAATCCACCTTATGTACCACCCCTTACTTATTTCTATATAGTTACAATATATGTATGTTATGTGTGTAAGTGCAACTTCTTGTACATTGGCGGCAACATTTATTGCTTGAATTTAATTATGATTGCAATTGGCTGGCGAAAAATGGTCAATGGGTAAGAGTCATGGACAAGTTCATGGCCACAAAGTGTTTGCGTTTGGATTGGCAAGCGCTAAGCTGTCTGCATTCACTAGTTGTTGTTGCTGCTATTTTTAACAACAATAATGCTGTAGTTGCTGTTGTAATTGCTGTTGCAACCACTGTCGACGTCCACTCTTCGCTTCGTTATCGTTATTGTTGTGTTGCTCGCCAGCTGCCGTTTTGCTGTCTTTATAAATCGTAAATTGTAAACATCGCCGCTTGTTGTTGCTTTAATTAACCATTTATAATTTACAAGTCTAAATGTATGCAAGCGTAGCTGTTGCTTGCAATAAATATTCAACAGGCCTCAAAGGCAGCGACCGATTGTAGCGCGGCACTCTTTACAATTTCATTTTACTATTTGTTATCTTCTTTGTTTTGCTTTGCTTTTGCTTTCGTTTCATTATTGACATTGTAATTTTGACAGCCACTTGATTGGTAATTTTGTAAATAAATCAAATCGATCGAGATTCAATTTAGGCAATTTGTAATCGGTTTTGATATCATTTATGATATTGCTGGGATTGTGGCAGCTATATTGGTTCGACCTAAACAATATATTTGGAGGTTGTAGCGTTGTCTTAGACAATAATCTATGTAAAATTTCATGTGATATCTTGTCAAATAAAAAAGTTTTCCATACAAGAACCAGATTTTTGTAGATTAGTTTGTTTGGCAGCTATATGCTATAGTGTTTCGATATCGGCGCTTTCGACAAATGAGCAAGTTGCTGGGCAGAAAAAGAAGTGTGCAAATTTTCAAATTGATATCTCAAAAAGTGAGGGCCTAGTTCACGTATATACAGACGGATGGACAGATAGGCATGGCTTAATCGACTCAGCTCGTCACGCTGTTAATTTATAGTTTATTATACGTTTCCTTCTGGGTTTTACAGATATTCATGGTAAACCCTGTTTAGAGTATGACAAGAACTTATATGGGGATCAAGTTTCTTTCAGCAAGACCCTTCGGGATCACAAATTGATTCCCGCAGTAGTGCGCCTATGCAAAAATCGTTTCAATGTGTCTTCGGGTGTATGTACTCATGTTTCAGAATTTTTTTGATATTGTACCAGTTTTTATAAATATGATATCCGATCTGAACCGTGCACTTACATATTAAGCGAGTTTCAAATGTGTTGAGTTCAAAATCGTCAAAATTGATTTTTTTTTTACGTAACCTCACAATTGATAATTTGAATATTTATATTATGAGCTCATAATAATGCAACTTAGCTTGAACCCACTTTTTGAAAGCGATTGGCTAGAAAAAAATTGCAGAGATTTGTAAATAACTAATTTTTAAATATTTTTCAGAGTACTTTACGAGTTCACACCGTAAAAATGTGTCTGGTATAGATCAAGTTCATGGTAATTATATTTAGGTTTACATTTGCTATACGCAACTTCTATAATAATGCATTCTTTCACTTACCGACTGAGCTGATGACATAAGTCGCTGGTGGTTTCAGCACGCTACGCGCATAGGCACCGCGTAGCACTTCCAGTGCGCATGGTTCGGCTGTCACCAATAGCATGCCGGGCGCTACATGACCGGCATATTTGAGCGCACGTGTTGCGGCGGTGAGTGGGGCATTCCACCAACATTGTGCGTTGGCGGCGAGAAAATTCTGTAAATGAAAGTCAATGTTGTAAATTATTACTATTAAATGTATAGTTAATCAATAGTCATGTGAGGGTCAAATTTATACATAAATAATGTAGAGGTTAAATACGAAGCTCAAAAAGCTTTTTGGCCATTATTAATATTATTTTTAAATACATAAACTCCACAATAGTGGATGCTGAGATTAGGGGTGTCAATAGTTCATCTGACTTTCTGACTGTACTCTGGAAATTTTTCGCTAGAAAATCTCAAGTTAGCAGACGGAGCAATGCTCCGAAAATTCAGGGTGACTCTGCTACAAGACTAATTTCGCTTTCGATCTACGAATCATCTCTTTGACAGGTCTACTTTTTAATTTTCCGGAAAGAATTTCGGCTAAAGCTGAAAGAGAAATATGGGGCAGAGAGTTCACAAGTTAGCTTCTCTGACGATCTTAGCACTGGTCAGATTCTCAGGGCACGCTTAGTGGAATATTGCTGTACCTTGTACTCACTATATCTGATTCAAAGTTAGTCGTGGTATGCAGTGGACAAATATAAGTATAAATAATTCGAATTGTCTGTTTAAAATCATCAATAGAAACTGTCGACAATTTCAGTCAGAGTTAAGCGAGTTCCTCTATTTCTTCAACTATTTTCATTAATTATTTCGTTTACTCTGTGTAATGGAGTCATAAGTTACTAAGTTTATAGTTCCACATACAATTTTTTTGATATATATTAAGCACAGTAACTCTGCAACTTTTTAGACTCCGGTAATGAAGCTTTGGTGCTTTTGTGAACCTATTTAGTAAGACCTTAGATACTTATTTGATTTTAGTCTGAGTAGAGCAAGATCTATTGTCACTAACATGACGTATTTTTTTCTTTTTAACTTTTTTACCGCTTTTAGGGTATACAAATCTAATCTGTCCTAACATAAAATAACCTAATCCAACGTAACCTGAGCTAACTTAGCTATAGCATTCGCAAGGGGTACAAATTTGGATTTAAAACACAAAAATTGCAATTAAAATTCAAGCGAACTATACCCTTACGGTTGAATATGAGATCAGTCCGAAGTCTTTTTAGTTTACTTCGAAATAGCGTTGAACCGCACAAAACGAAGGTTTGAGGACGTCACTTAAAATTCAAATTCATTTAAATTCAAACAATTGAGAACTACATATACTCTCTGCGGCTGAACATGAGATCAGATTGATGTTTTTTGGTCTGTTTCTTCAGCGTCGCGATGAATACCGAGTAGAAGACGAAGGTTTATTGAGGTCAATACCGTCAATTTAAAATCAAACAATTAAGATTGGTTGAAAATGAGATCAGATTGAAGTCTTCTTAGATACCTTCAGCGTAACGATGAAAACCGTAGAAGACCAAGGTTTAAGAAGTTCAATACCTTCTAGCTCAGAGAGCTTTCGTTTGCGATCACAATAGAAGTGGTTAGCGCTTAGGCTTATGGTCGGTCGTCGGGAGAAGTTGTAGTCTGACTAGTTCAAATTGAAAAGGAATCATCAAGCCTTTAAGTTGCCTGGTTGTAATTCTGTTCAGCGGAAAAGTGCTTTGAGTAAATATATATATTTTTTTAAATATTTTTTTTAGGGTTTTTCTGACAGCTTTTTTATGCAAGGACCTTGGCAGTGCTTACACTTAAGAATAACTCTATCAAATTTGAAACTTTCTAGAAGGTTTTTGCCTTTCAGTAGTAATAGCCTCAAAGCAAACCAGTTATTCGAGTGTGAACTGTAAATTGTTTATAAGTAATAAACACTAACGACTGTATACGATTAGGTTGAATGCCAGATCAACATTTTCATCGTATCATTATGGTTAAAGTGGTGCACTTTTGGCAATACCAAAGAGCAATTGTTGCTACAAGGGCTAAATTAAATGACCCAGCAATGCTACGAAACACCTTTTGATAACCCTAAATTACGCGATTCACACCTACAGCGGGCAGTGAGCGCACAAAAGAAATGCTTGATGGATGGAAAGTGACACCTGAAGGCTAGCAGAAAACGACAGGACACGCCTCTTTAATGGCACAATGGCGCGAATAATAGGGATGCAAGTGGTAAGATACACGGACAAACACACAGACTAACAATTATACTGTAGCCGCAGCTACCTTTTTTGCCTCAACTCATTGCTGGACTGCGGTTTTGTTGCATGCGCTGCCAAAGGTCGCACTGGTACACACCGCCATTGTGGCACTGCTTGCTGAATGCCTTACTTGCTATGATTTAATGCGAAATTTCTTTATTGCTATCTGCAGTCAATCGAAATAGTGGCAGGCTGGCGAAATGTGTTGGAAAAAGTGGTAGCTGCAACATGCCACTGGGCCTGCAGAGGCATTTGCTGTGATTGTGGTGCCTGCCACAATCAGTGGCATGCGATAAATCGCCATTGCAACTGATAAATCATCGATGCCACATGATTGCTCGACGCTGTGCCACTAAATGCAAATTTTCGCTTTCCTCGGCTACTTGACGCCTCTCGCTCGGTTGCAAGTTGTTAATTTTTGGCATTGCTGCTAAGGCACCACTTGCCACCGCCGCCGACAGTCGCATTATTTAATAGCAACACTTAGCAGCGCATTAAGTGCAAGTAATCGCTGGCCATACGCTGGCAGCGTTGAATGCGGCACGTTGCCACCGCTTGATGTGTGACGTGGCTGCTGTTTTGCAAATTTATTTACACGCTCATTGTTGTTATTGTTGTTGCTGTTGCTGCTGCGTCGGTCACTGTTGCTGTTTTTCTCATTTGGTTTTGTAATTTGTACGGTTTTTTTCGTGCGGCGTGGCATTAGTTTTGTGTTTAGTCTTTAGCGCTTAATGTGCCACAACACTGCGCGCAACACGGCAAACGTTTGCCAAAACAACAACAATCAGCTAGCGCAATCAGTTTCGTACGCTCATGCATTCGGTATTTAATAATGTTGCAATTGCATTCATTTAAGCGCGTTGCATGCAAAATTACACTTCTGCCTTTGTATTTGCCGCTGCCACAGCAGCAGCAACAAACAAGTGCTGTTGCGCTTAATTTATGATAGCAGCACATAAATAACATTTTATTATCTGCTGCCATTAAAGGTTGTGCTAATTACAACAACGTGTGTGCAACACAATGAACCGCCTTGTGCGAGTATGTTGCGGCGCGTCTGGTCATTGCTACTACAACGAGTTGCGGCATGGAGGTTATGTTATAGCCATCGGGATACTATAACACATGTGACTGTAACACATTTGCTTAGTCATGTAACCGTGTATGGTAATTAGTGCTTCCTATGGCTGAGCTCATGAAATTGCGCTTAGCAGCTTTTTCAGGCGGGGTTCCTCATTAAACATGGGCAGGGAAATATGAGTACAAGTAAATATCGTGTGATTAATGCAATTTCGTACAAACCTAGCCAAAACTTAATAACAACAAAGCTCGAAATCGAGGTTTCGATAATAGAAGATAGTCTTAGAACGGTTTAAAGATGAGATACATTTTCCTTTCCAAAATTTGGTCGGCTGTTTGATAATACTCTTTCAGTATCCATTCACGCTATTAAACAACTAAATTTTTATGATTGCAAATATTGATAGAACAGTAAAAGGAATCCACGAATCGTTATGTACTTAAATCGACTCCATTATTTGATTCCGTAACTCGGTATATAAAAGAAGTCTTAACATATTTTTGACTTTCTGATTACTTAGTACTTCCATAAAATTTCAAAGAAACACGTTTTTGTAACTTTCTGGTAATCTATTTAATAAATCTCTACCACGCAAGTAATTCTGATTTAGAAGAGTCTTAAAAAATCGTGTCGTAAGCACTTCGTGTGCTGATTTTTGACGACTTTAGGAATGACTTAAATCTAAGTGGTGACAAAGAAAGTCTGAAGTCTTTCGGTTCTACACAATTAGAGCATACCCAAAAAAGCAGTTGGTTTGGAATAGTTTTAAAATATTAAAAAAAAGTTTTAGAATACTACTGAATATCTCTTTCGTATCTTAGAATATCTTGAAATACTGATTATTGCTTATAGGTTCGAAGAAGTCTTGAAAATACTAAAAATCGAGCGATTTTTTCGATACGTGTTGATGCTTATAACTTTAATAATTATTGCTGCTGTTTGACGAATTGTTTACAAATGAAATCGGGCCTAGGTCTCAAAGTGTTGATTCAGTGTCGGTAAATGTGGGTATGGGATGAATAAATAAGATAAATAACGAGTTTACTTAAGGTCTGAGGTTTTTTTTTTTGATCTACTTACTCAATAAATCTTGGATTAATCAGGCGTAAACACATCGAACCTGAGAATCAGTTGAACCCTAAGTGTTTAAACTTTTGGGAAAGAGTATTCAAACGCCTTGAGTAAATGTAGATATTATAGGTAAGAAGTGTGCTGTCAGAATTCTCTATATGAACTAGACTAATACATATTCATCGAATTTGAGCCTTTTATATAGCGCCGTTGTGCTCAGGTGCAAAAAAGAAAGTGATGATTGGTTATGTGCTCTTTGCCACAAGATATTTTTGGGAACCAATCAATACATATTAGGTTCTCTCTCTCTATTAAAAATGTCACGATGGATTATAGAAACTAGTATGTTAGTATATAAAAGTATGTATGTAAAAATGTGGAATTTTATCAACTGTATAGTAGTGACAAGTCCTGGGGTCCTTCAATTGAAGTAGTAAAGCTACTGCTGATTTCAAACAAATTTTTTTTGTAAAAAAATCTGCCAGAAACACAATTTTAACCTTTTATGTTTTCCCTTTAATTCGTAGTTTATGGCATTAATGAAAACATGTATTTCTTTTTTACTTCGGATGATCCTGTAAGAAGTTCTGCTGTGAACACGGAGGCACCTTTTATTCGAGGGTCTGCCGGAAATGACGTACTGGGCGAGTTTTGAATTTTTCCTTAGAAAATTTCACAAACTCTTTGTAGGGTCCTTATGTATGTATCTTTGGAATAATAAAAAGGTTTGACAAAAATATTACATTTCTTTAATTA